TATGGCTCTGTTTAGATGTTTTGTGTTGTGTGGTCAAAATTGTTTCCATGTTCCATCATCACAATATAATAAGCCAATACTCCACAGTATCACAATTATCTGCAATAACATGTGAAACAAATGTGTAAATTACAAATCTGTGCAAATAAAGACAAATGACTATAAAATAACTCTTATCAATAGTAGCGGTAGCATGTGCCACTGAACTACAAAAACCATTTCTTCATTAAGCCATCTTACATGGCTGGTGGTCCAAGATGAATTTATCATACTTATTGGCCATGAAAGCTTCAGATCACGCGGGACACTGGTTAAAAATAGTAATGAAAAGCTCAAAAGAAACTGCGATATTTCATCGCCACTAAACTGTAAGTGCCACGAGTTAAACTTGGAACAATATACAGTGATCACTGCTTGTGTGTTCACTGGTTTGTAGAATCCGACACATTATAGGATCAAATTTCTGAGGAACCGGTTCAAATCACCAAAATACAGCATATTTTTTACATTTACTGGAATCAAATTTCTAGTTACAAGAATCAATGTTACCTGCATTAAAGGCTGATTCACGTTTTAGGCAAACGTTACAGAATAGCACATTCTCTATTTAGACAAGAATTTTATGTCATATTCACACTGCATGCCTTGACATGGTCGCTTGACCCTTCCACCTGAACGATTTTCTTCTAAAAACAGGGAGTAAAGACCTTACTCCATGTGGAGTACAACTGTCTGTCAAGCAGAGCTCGTTAACAATAGCCGAAGAGCCAATGATTGCCTAAACCTGGGTTATCACACGTGCACAGTCAGTTTGATTTCACAGCCTCCTACAAGGCCCTTGCATGAACATATTAATAAGTTTAGGAAAAGCAAAACCAGTTTGCAGTAGGTTCTTCCAACCGCCGGGAATCGAACCCGAGACTACTGAACATTAAACACAACAGGCAGAAAATCTGTACATCTTTCTCGTGTCCGTCAGATGTTTACTTGTCTGTCATGCTGTTATTCCACGCTGATCCGCATGTGATTTTCTGTATAAATTGTAATATTTTTTTATAAAAATATCACTGAATAAGAAAAGAAAAATATGAGTGTAGCAGAAAAAATGTCTTATAGACACATATGATACGTTACATTTAAGTTTCTTGTCTCAAAGAGAAGTGGCTGAGAAATTGTGAATTCCTCGGTCAAATTTGTCAAAACTGTTAAAATCTCGTGATGCATTAAATGCTAATACGACTAGTGAGAGAAGAAAAAAGGAAGCATGAAGAAAAATGTTATGCAGTACATAAAAAGTGCTACTGGTTTGGTTCAGGCAAGTCAGTTCTTATAATACATATTTCAATCACAGTATTCTATTACAAAAAGCCAACGATTTGCTGAGAAATTAGAAGAAGATTTTAAACCGACCAATGGATGGAGACACAACATTGTTTAAAAAAAAACTTCCTGGACAAAAACAAAATTCTGATGGCTCGGCAGCTAACGAAATACAAACAAATTTAGAAAGATATTGTAGATGCGTCATATTGTGATTTATAAGTATTAAAAATATATTAAAATTGGCCGTCAATCACAATATAAGATAATTAAAAGTTCCTTATCGAGTACTCGATTTACATGTGGAACATTTACGACATGTTTCGGCTATATATAGCCGTCATCAGGTGTTATATTATAAACTTTTTACTGAATTACTGATTTTTACTAATATTTAATGATGATTTTCAGTTCTCATTTTTTTCTTTTTTTTCTTATCGTGTTCTCGTCCTTCATATTTTATCTTCATCGATTGTTGTGTCGCCTGTCACTAATATGATTGTATTTCGTAGTGATGTTAATGTTGTGTTTATTGGACGAGAACACGATAAGAAAAATGAGAACTGAAAATCATCATTAAATATTAGTAAAAATCAGTAATTCAGTAAAACGTTTATAATATAACACCTGATGACGGCTATATATAGCCGAAACATGTCGTAAATGTTCCACATGTAAATCGAGTATTCGATAAGGAACTTTTAATTATCTTATATTGTGATTGACGGCCAATTTTAATATATTTTTAATATTTTTAATAAATTTAGAAACTGTATTAAGCGATTACAGCCCAAGAGAATATCTTTAATACAGGCAAAATGGGACTAAAGAGCTATTCCATATTATTGCATGATTTTTAAAAATGCCTCAGCATCTGCTGGAAATAACGTAAAGGACAGAATTACATGCAGTTCTATTAACCTGCAGTATGAAAGGAACAATCATGAAGCAGCCATTAATACGAGTAGAGAGTAAATTTCCTTGATCTGAAAGGAGTAAAAAACTTTCCTGTTGAATATGCGCACAATACCAGTGACTAGATGACAGCTTCTATAATAGAAGATTACTTTCACAACTGCAACAGACAAATGAATATGAAAAAGAAAATAAATTGCACTAGTTCTGGACAACTGTCCAGCACATCCAAAGCTGAAGAAGGAAAAAACAGAATTAACACTATGTCGCACATTCAACCTGTCGACCAGCAAATTATAAAAACTTGTTGATCGAACATGATGCACAGAATTATCCAGTCCAAAGGTGATTAACTGGGAACTTCATCCAACATCACCAAACAAGTATCAGTTCCAAATGCACTGCACAAGACAATGAATGCTTAAGATAAGGTTTCTGGCCATTAAAAGAAAATTTGGATGTCTGTAACATAAATACTGATTTTACAAACCTACAGGAGTACCATTCCTATATTGAAGATTGCTGCTCCAAGTAAGCAAGTCTGTATCCTTCAGGAAAATGAAATCAAATAAATGAGTAACATGTTACTTGATAGTAATGCTGAATTTAATGACATTACTAGCAAAGTGTGCTCATGTTTGGTGCATGAAAATCTTGTCAAAATAGAAAATAATTATAATTTTTTTAACTGAGAATTTTTAATACATATCAGTTGTGAAAAGAGAGAAATATGTTTGCCAGTTCCTGTAAAAATATCAGTATTATATGGCAACTGTTCCAGATTAATCACTATTCTTATGAATCCCTGCATTTTTCAGTAAAATTACTTACCACTTGTCATTTATTCTCTAAATATTGTTTCACATATGACATAACTAAGTTTGCAGACATACCAAAACATTTTGTCGTAGTGCTACATACAGCTGTCAGTCACCGCAGCATAAACACATTCTTACTCGCGCAATTAAGAGTACTGAATGTGTAATACAGCCAAGTGAGACTTCCACTTTTGAGTCAACACATTAACCATATTTATAGAAAACTAGTATTGACATATGTGAAATATTAGACAAATGTTTTATTTTACTTCAATGACATGTAATGACACTAAACAACGAATCAAGTATCAACTAGATATTGTGTTTATGACATGGGAACTCAGTGGATTACATTTGCATTACATAAGTGGGGCATAATATCAAAAGAAAATAGTCTCTCTTTTAACACACATGGACTGAACATAAAGCTCTCTCTAGCTTCAAGTGCTAAATCAGACAAACTGATATGGTCTTCAATTTTCACACTTAAAGAAACTAGAGGGATAGTAAATCACAACACGGCGTTTCCTAATGGTGTTGAACAGGCCTTCGGTTTATAATTTAGGGTCTACATACCTGTTCTATTTTCCGTTTGTGGTCGTCGCAGTTCTTTGTGGTCTTGTCCTTGCCTCCAAATAACACGACCTCTTCCCTTCGCTGTAGACGGTTCTCCGAAAGGGTTCATGGTTGCCTGCAATATGATGAAATTAGGGGCATACTGTGCCTCCAATCGTAAGGTTAAGGTACAGAACATTAACCATGTTATAAGAAATACTCGATTTATTCAATGACATCAGATATGCAAAACAAATTTCGTCCAACGTTTCTTTCTAATGACACCAAATAAATCAAATTTACTCACAGAAGACTTCTATCTATCACGTAGGATTACAGAACCATCATTTTAAGCACGAACACCAACACACCATATTTTACGGCAACCACAGAATATACACAAATACCAACTTCGACATGGTTTATACATATTGGTATTAATCTATTGATTAATATGAACGTAGGCGAGTAATCTAAGTATGATATTACGGGACACAGAAAATTACCACGACTAATTACCTGAAAATAAAGATGACAAAACGGTCAAATTTACCAGCACTGTGGATGAGCAAACAAACTAAGAAAGAGTACTGCGTGCCACAATACATGTTCTTTTCAACCTGCATTTAGAACTATTAAATATGCTCTCGCCTCATACATTTTTCCAAACCAATATTTTATAACCACGGCAAATTACCTCTAGTAATTTGTGTCACATCACTTAATCTACCACCCGAAAAATGAAATTAATCTAAGCTAACCTAACCTAATTTAACTTATGCCAAGCCACATAGATTAATAAACGCCAATCCCACCAGGCCAAATGTAATGTGGAATTATTTCCTTCGGAAACTCAACAGGCAGAAAAAAGTATTTTGCAAGCAAAAGAATATCATTATAATAACGACAGGCACTAAAAAGAGATCCTCACGTAAGGAATTATTTAAGAAATCTAACATTCTTCCACTAGCCCGCGAATTCTTGCTCTCATTATCATTTTTAGTTGACAACAGAAACATGTCAAATCCACAATATAAGTACAACATGCGCATATAACCTTCATGTACCAAACACTAAACTCAGTAAATATCAAAAAGGAGTTTACTAATACTAGAATGAAGTTCTTCAGTAATCTTCCTATCACTATAAAAAGTATGAATCACATAAAAGTTAGTTTAAGTCAGAACTGAAGGAGTATTTCCTACCGTACTGCGCGCTATCTGCTCCATAGGAGAATTTACTTCAACCGAATATTCTCACCTATTATAAATATATGTTCGCAATACTGGCTTTGCTTCCTTGTGTAATTATTTTAGCGGTAATAGTGTAGTTGAATATAAATTATTGCCATAACTATGTAATTTATTCTTGTACTAGAAACAAGTATTGTATTTGTGCTATGACGTGTTCTGCATTCTTGGCTTGGGCCTGTGAAGGCTCTACGGAATGTAAATAAATTCTATTCTATTCCGAATGAAACCTACCCCAACCACTGCTAACAAAATTCGACTGAACTTAACATTTCGCAACGAAACTTGAACTAACCTAATATAACCTCTCCAAACTGTAACCGAACCAAATATAAACACATCTTGGCTCTTTGCCCAATCTGAGATGAGACTGATGGGTCATGTAGTATGCATGGGGAGGGGGGATAAGAAATATATAAAAAAAATTCGTTGGAAGGCCTGAACAGAAGAGACCTCAAAAGACCTAGGCTTGGTTGGAAGGATATTAAAATGGAAGTTAGGGAAATAAGGCTAAAGTTTTGAATTGCATTAAGCTGGCTTAGAAAGTGGGATCTTGTGAAGACAGTAATGAACCTTCAATCTGTATAAAAGGTGGGAAATTTCTTCACTAGCTTCACAAGATGGGCTCAGCTTCATGGAGTTCATGCGTCATAAATGAAAAGACACTCACTGTCCTGTCATGATTTTGAATGCTTGTAGAACATGCCTTTCTTCTTCTCCTTCTTCTTCTATGGCATGACAGCCCAAAGTCAATCCTTGGCCTCCTTAGAACTTGCCTTTACAGTATTGTTATTACATATCTCCATACTTAATATTTTTCATTCTTTGCTGCTATGATTACAAAGACATTTTGTTTTATATTATTCTTTATTTACTACACTCTGTATAACATAACATACTATAGATGAATGACAATCGTATGTAAAAATATGACCGTGGAATACCAGCAGTCTGTTTGAACTATAGCTCATGTCATGAGTATTGCCAACAAAATAAATGCATTATAACCATATGTGGATGAGTATATGAGAAGACTATCTAATTAAGACAGTGCATTTAATTAATACTTGTACATGAAATGAGTACTTCATAAGCCCACCATTTTCTGTTCCTTCAAAACAGTGTTGCACAACCTTTCAACACTTGCGGCACACTAAATACTGTGGAAGAGTCATGTCCACACACCAACCCCATTTTGTATATCATGGCAGGGGAGGTAGATGGTTTATGGCAATGACTGGCCGTGGCAACTTATTATAAATTGACCGCAACCAAAAAATGTTCTATTTGATGTTTACAATTACCCATCTTTATTATTATGTCATTTATTTTAAATGTATTCATTATTTGAAATAAATTAAAATATAATAATTTCCACCATTTGATCAAAAATTTATTAACTATGTCCGAACATTTAAAGTTAAAGATACTTATTCATATCTTTACATGTAGATTGCAGAAAAATACATAGAGTGGATATAAAAGTAAAGGGGAGGTACACGTTTTGCTGCAATGTGTTTGTGTTGCTTTCCAATTCCATTTAGTGAATGTCTGTCCTCAGTCTACCCAATCATAATGAAGCAAATGAAAACTGAGACAGAGCAGAAAACAAGATTAACAGTTGTGTGTCTCATTATGGTTATAATTATAATATGAGGTGAAAATCTTGTGGCACACCCAGATGGCCTCAACAGCACACCTGTGTGCTGCGGAACACTGGTTGCGCATCACTGCTTTAGAAGGTAGAGGTATACAATCACTGTTCCAAAAAATGATATAAGTATAGAATTTCAAAGACTACAGGACTTAAATAATATCAATTTCTTGAGGATCAATGTACAATAATTACATTCCAAAATTATGTTCCATCTTACTTGCCCTTAGTGAATAATGTAACACAATTGGTCATGAAGATTTTTGTCTTCTGGGTTGTTGCGCCATGTAGTATGATAGATGTTTACCAACGTTTCAGAGGTCATACTGCCTCCGTCATCAGG